GCTGAGATGGGCCATGTCACATGACACCAAGAGTCTTCTCCAAAATACATTTAGCCCAGGAGCTGGCAGGGACAGACAAAACAGGAATCAGCACTTCACAAGCAACCCACTGAAAGAGAGGCCTGAGGAGAGATGGTGCAGCCGGCCACATGCAAAAGGCAGCATCCATCCACGGCTCCTGGTCCAGGGTTAGCAGAGGAGAGCAGGGGGTTCATGGAGTGAGAGACCTAGGGTTGAACTGTGACTCTGTCCCTTACTCACTGGTGTCTCTGGGAAAGTCCCAAATGTGTCATCTGTAAAATGGAAATGACAATAACCCTCTCTTGTAAGGTTGTTGCCATGGAACACGGACCACTATAAGTGTGATGATGAGGTGTGACCTCCAGAGGGGATGTAAGGGGAACATGGCGATGCCCGTGGACCATCACCCAGACAAAGTAAAAACACCGAGTCCCTCTAGAAGTCAGCCCAGCCTCATGCCACCTAGACAGAGCGATACCCACCTGAGGGTGCCGTCATCTGGGTCCTCAGCCTCCTCGAGGTCTTCCCACTCACTCTCACTGTCATGGGGCTCTTCTGGAGGCAAAGACTTTGAGATAGTCCCCCAAGAACAGAACTGCGGTAAGGGAATGGTCCCTGAATCTGCCTCCAGACATTCTCCACAGGGTAGCTGGTCTTCCAAGGCAGAGTCGATGATGAGATAGGCTTCATCCCCCCAGGTGGGAGGAGGGGCTTCAGGTGGATGGCACACGTCACCTTCCTCATCATCACTGTACCATTGAGGACTAGAAAACAGAAACCCATGTGTCTTCCAGTGTTGATCAGAAATTCCTCTCCCCACCTTCCCTTGTTTTCAGGATGCTTATTGTGACCCATCACAGGAGAGCCAGCCAGGCTTCAGACAGTTCCTGCCAAAGATTGCTCTGGGACCAGGAGATGAATAGTGAATAAGGCATGGTCCCTGTCTTTGAAGAGACCCGGATTTAACAGAAAGAGCGAGCAGTGAAGAAATGTTACAATCCAAGTAGTAAGCACTACGGTAGCGGCAGCACAGAGCGTTATGGAAGTGGTGGGGGCAGGGGGGCTCCCTATCAAGTCCAGAAGACCACGGGGGAATTTGCCAGAGCGGGTGGCATCAAAAGCAGAGCTCTGGCCCAGTTCTAGGAACTGGAAGTCGTTCAGACCTCCAACAATTTTATGTACTTCCCTGGGACCTCAGTTTTCTCATCTGAAAAATGGGAAGGTCAAGAAACTTACAGGACTGTTGGGATGCTTAAGTTAAATAATTCTGATATAGCCATCCACGGTTCCTGGGCCAGGGTAAGTTCTCAGCCAATGGACAAAACCATGATTACTACTATGGTTATGATTGCTATTTCAACAGCAGAATTAGATCAAAAGGGCCAAAGCAGAAGGCTGGGAACAACTTAAGCAGGTGACCTTCAAAGTGCTTTGTGCAAATGTCAGGTCCGTTTCTGAGCACAGAAAAAGTGCCTATTTGGGGAGGCAGCCAGCTGGCATGGTATTTACTCCCTGAGTGACACAGAAAGCAGATGAACAGAGAGGCTCATTGTCTGGCGACAAAGATGCAGATGCAACGGTGAGCAGTAAGCCTTCCAGAGGCTGCGTGAAGGTCACCACACAGGCTTTGTGATTAGAAAGAGCAGTCCATGCAGACGACAAAGCGTTCTGCCCAGTGCTTCCAACATGCAGAGAAGGTACTCAGGAAATGTCTGTTGAGAGTCTGGTTAGAGAAGATGAGAAGGAAAATCTAAAAGAAATGCACACAGGTTGAACTTTGTACCAAATACACAAATCCTTGTTTATCAGCCTCCTGCCGCACCCCCAAATCAATGCGCTGGCTTTGTCAGTGTCCCCTGCCCTCCCTCTCTGTTTCCCACAGTGCCTCTTCCCCTTAAAGTCAGCTTGGGCCCCTCCCCATAGCTACCAGCCCCCCAAACACCCATACAGCTGGTCCCCCTCCCCTCTGGAGCCATAGTGTCAGTCCCAACCAGAGTTTTGCTCTCAAAGAGACATCATTTCTGCTCAGGAGAGCTACAGGGTTTGTATGAGTGTGCATTTCATGTAAATATACACACACGTGTGTGTTTGAAAAGGACACTATATGCTCCGAGGACTAAAGAGGAACGCTTACTTTAAGAAAACAATATTTACTAACACAACATTGTAAATCAACTCTACTTCAATTAAAAATATTTAAGAAAATAAAATAAAGTAAACAATATTTAAAAATTGCTAAGCATTTCAAGGAAAACTTGGCTTAAAACCTTAAAGTACTTAACTGAATTGTGTAGAAAGTGTGTTTTTTAATAAACAAAGGAAGGGAACGCTGGGGAAGTTTTTTCAAAAGACAAGAAATCTAGCCTGGTGCCCAGGCCCACCCTGTCTCCTGTCCCCTACCCCCTCTCCCCCTTCCCTGCCAAGAAGCAAGTGGCAACACTGCAGTGCCTGACGATCCAGGCCTCACCTCTCACGACCATGCTCCTTCAACATTTCTAATAAGCTCTTTGCTCACCAGGTTGGATCTGGGGCTCCAGCTACTGGCCCTGACTGGAGGGAGACCCAGGGAGGCCATCAGCCTGAGCAGCAAGAGGCAAGGCTGTTGAGATGTCCAGAGAAGGTTTGGTGATCTCCAAGGTGACATCCTGGCCATTGTCCCACCACAAGTCGGGGAGAATAATGGCCTTTACATCCACCCTTCCACCCAGGCCACCAGGATGCTCTTGAGATTCTGACCTGGAGTTTGCCTATGGGCGTGGGGAAAGGGAGCAAGAACAGAAGAGGCACCAGAAGGCCCACGGAAGCCCCCAGGCAGAGCCTCCTGCACGGAAGGGGCAAGACTTGGAGATGTGGAGAATTTGATAAGGATGGTGGTATGCTTTAGAGCAAGGCCAGATGTCTTGGCAGGTGGACGTGCCAAGGAAAGAGGCAGAGTCCTTCACCCAGGGCTCAAGGCCAACTCAGGATCTGGGAATAATGCAGCATAATTCTCCCATCCAGAACCTGAAAGGGATTGGGGTGCTCTGAGTTCTCTGCTCACCTGCAGGTCCATTTTATGACCTCAGCTGCTCCCTGCACTTTTTCCCTCCCTCCCAAGTTGTCTGACAAAAGGAGACTTTTATAGACAGATGGTATCCGGAGGAGACTCTGGAGACCCCACCTGGGATCTCTGCCCAGCCACCTCCCTAACACGAGCTGGCAGGGCCTAGGAACCAGGCCCCACACCAGACCCTGCAACTCTTCAGCCTCTGCTTTCAAGGAAAGGAATCCCGGTTCAGCTCAGGTCAATGAAATCAGTGTGAAGTCTCTGCTTGCTACAGGGTATTTACTGAGAGTGGCAGACACCGTGCCCAACATCCCTGGAGAGCTGTTCTTTAGAAACTTGGGCCACTGACTTCCTGGGGGGAGTGGCCAGAATGGAAGCATGGAAAGACCCAGAGGTCACCTCCTCTCTTGAGCACACCAAAATCACAGCTATTTGCAGAACAATCATCGATGAAAAAGACAAGCCTACCAGAAAAGATCTACCACTAAAGACATAACGAAGGAACCACAGTAAGACGGGTAGGAGGGGCGGACGCGTGATATAATCAGATCCACGCGAGTGACCCACACACTGGAGAACAACTGCAGGGCAGAAGTTCTGAGCCCCACGTTGGGCCCTGCAGGCCGGAATTCCGGCACTGGGAAGGTGAGCCCCCAGAGCACTTGGCTTTGAAGGCCAGCAGGGCTTACTCGCAGGAGCCCCCCAGGACTGGGGGAAACAGAGATTCCACTCTTAAAGGGCGCATGCAAAATCTCACTTGCACCAGGAGCCAGGGCAAAAGTGGAAACTTGGGCCACCAAAATCATGTGCCCCTTTCAGGAAAACAAGTCAAATGAGTAGACAGCAGCATTTCAGGCCTGAAATAATAGGTTTCATAATTGACCTATTTACTGCGAGGAAACCCACAATGAAGTTCAGGCTTTGTGTCTCTTCGTGTGAGGCTCAGCCTTCTCCAGGTCTCCTGCACCAGCCCTCCCCCCCACCCCCCGCCAACATCCCTGCTAGCCCGGTGAGTGCAGCTGGGATCTCAGGGTTTGTGCCAAGTTTAACATCAGCAGGCTGGGTTTGCAGTGACTCTAAGACGTCAAGAAGGGACGTTCAGTGGACCACTGGGTTTGAAGCTCAGTTGATAATCCTGAGCTGGAGAGCAATATTTAAGAGTCATCAGAGTGGGGTGCCTGGCTTGGTGTGTATGGGATGGGGGTCCCCAGGGAGCCTGTAAGTGTGGGGAGAGAACTCAGCTGAAGGCAGTGCCCAGGCCCAGCCTGTGGCAGGCTCTGCTCTGCGGGGTTAGATGAACCACTGATGCTCCTGGCCAGGCATCTGCCTCCTTCGCTCCCCTCAGTCACACTCCAGCTCCAGAGCAGGTCTTCACAGGGGTCCCCTGTGCCCTCACTTTGACCTACAGCCAGCTCACCTGGCAGCCTCATTCACCCCTCGGCCAGCTACTCTGAGGTCACATCTGGCATGGAAGCTTCAGTTGAGTTAGACCCCTAGTCCCCTCATCATCCTTTGCTATTCCAGGAACTCTGTCCTCCCCAGAAGGTATACAGTAACTTTAGGTTTATTTCAAGGACTCGGCCTCATTTTGCATTTTTAAATGATCATAAAGACTTACATCCTCACTTTCACTACATGATACTTGCTGAAATGACATGCATTTTAATTACAGGAATATAAGTATATACACTAGGAGGGGAGAGAAAGAAAGAGAAAGAGAAAGAGGAAGAAGAGAGAGAGAGAGAGAGGAGAGGGAGAAGAGAGAGAGAGAGAAAGGAAAGACCAACTTCCCAAGGCTCAGCCCTGAAGAGAGCATGAGTGGGAAACTTGAATGAGCCATCCCTTCATTCCTGTGAAGTCAACATTTAAAGAGAAGCATTTTGCAGTCAGTATGGCCTGTAAAGGCAAACCACCAGACTTCATCTGAGGCTCAACCAAAGAAGAAGTGATCTGCTCCCACACCAAGGAGGGAAAAACAACATCACACCTTGCAAAGTGATGCTCAGGGTAACATGACTTGATGTGGTTTTCGCCTTATGCCCTAGCTTTAGAAACTAACCTTGCATAAGATGCAGCTCCAGCCAAGTACCAAGTCCTCTCTCTGGAAGGCAAACAATTACAGTGTTCTTCCATGAAAATGTACTGTACCGCTTTATTACAACATGTTTTATAAAGATCTACCGCGCTATGGTAGTAATAGATGGACAGCGTGGTAAAAGAAAAGAAGACGAAATGTCAGACTTCATCTTCTCCAAGAACACTGGCTTTGCTGGGGTGCTGGCAGCCATCTGACTGTAGGAAGTAGCCACCTGGTAGATGACAATGTGCTGGGAATTTCAATTGATAGGACCTGCTCTTTAGCTGGAAATGGCTCTGGAAAGGGAAAGAAAATTGACCTGGGTTGAGTTCCTGCTGGGAGCCAGGCACTGGGTTAGTGCTCTGCACATGTGTTATCTCTTTCGAACTGCACGGCACCCTGTGGAATTGTCTGTGTCTTCATTTCCATTTGAGAAGCCTCAGGCTCAGGGAATTCAACTCTCTGGGCATGGGCATGCTAGGAAGTGGCAGAGCTGAAAGCAAGGCTCTCTGGTCAAGAAGTCAGTGCTCTTTTTGTTCTAAACTGCAGGAAGAGAACTTCACTCATAGATGCTGGCAAACAAAGAGGCAGTTACCTGGGACAGCCACCTCAGAACTGAGCTGCGGACATTCGAGATGGGGTCCACCAAGAACCACAACCCCACTTTGGAATCCTAATTCCTACCCTACCCAGGGGCTCGGGGAACTGTGTCTGGGGATCGCTGGGTATGTACCATGCTTTTCCTCCTGTAGGGCGCAGCCACTAAGTATGTGTGCTCTGAGTGCAAGCTGATGTCCCACCGGAGGAGAAGCTAATGTGGTTTGAGTCCTTCCTTTGGAGAGAAAGAGGACTTCCATTTCTGAATGGGAGAGAGGAAACAAAAGTACAAGGGAAACACAGTAAAAGGAAATGTGAGGAGGTGGAGAGCTGCCATCACCAGGGCCACGGGAGCCAAGTGCAAGGGGGAGGGGTTGGCCATGGAGGGAGTCAATGCAGAGAACAGCAAACCTGCCCACCTGTTACCCCATGGACCACGTGGGCCTGGGCAGTGAGCACTGAGCAGCAACCAAGACGGACCGATCAGAGGCTCCACCGTAATGTTCTGAACAGGCTGTCAATACTCTTGTATAATTCTGGGAAGGGGCCACCCCCTTCCAAGGATGGCAGGTTTTGGACATCTGGTATACCCTTGCAAGTAGAGATGCTAAGCCAAATTTAATTTGATCCAGAAATATAAAACGATATGATGCTTCTTTTTTTTTTTAAGGAATGACAAAAACATAAAGGGGAAAAGGTGTCAGGATTTATAAGAAGAAGATAAAGAAAGGCAGATTTCACCTTAATAGAAGGAAGAACTTTCCGATCGACAACTACACGATGATAAAATGGGCCACCTCAAGAGGTAGCAAATTCTGCATCCAACCCTGGAGCTATTCAGGCAAAAGCAGGCCCTCTACTTCAGGGATGTCACAGAGCAGATTCCAGCATGGAGTGTGAGGTTAGATGAGATCGTTTTTATATTGAACAACCCCGAGTTTTTTGTGAGTTCGTGAATAAAACAGTGACAACCTATATTAATAACTAGTTTAAAATGCTATTATTAATAACTGATGACTATATTAGATTTAAGGCACATGGCAAGCCAAACTCCAGAGTCACACTTTATAATCCAGTTTTCAGGGTTTCTGTCCATCAGCCCAGACTATCAGTAAAATCTTCAGAAATCCGAACGAGTGGTCCCTTGCCTGAAGGGAAGTACATTTCCTTGTGTATTTCCTACAAGATCATACAAATACTTGTCCTTGGATAAAGCTCTGCAGGTTATTTCCTGCATCATTTGATCAAGTGTATCAACTACGGCCTAGAAGAAGGCAATTGTAAGGAATTATAAACACACTGGTGCTTATGCCGTTTCAGAAAATGAAAATGAATACCACCGCACGAACGTGCTCACCCACTCGGTTCTGCTTTGCAGAGTAGTTGAATTTTGTTTGGTTGGTACAATACAGCATACTTTAAAAAAATTGACTCTGGATGCTTCTAGGAAACATGTCTGGCTCCTGCTGTCCCAGATCTCATGCTGTCTAACTGCTTTACCCCAGCTGCTTCATAGTTCATGTCACCTACCAGACCCTCGTCAAGCTCCTAGGATGGCCGACAACTAAGAGCCATTTAATCTCAGTGAGTCTTCACAGTGTCAAACACAAGCCACTGTTCCTCATATTTGGCTGCTTTGTGCCTACGCATCTAGCTAGCACACACCCAGAAGCAGTGTCTTGCCCTCTCTCTGTACTGGAACCCCTCTCTCTACTTCTAACAAGTTTCCAAGCACCTTGAGTATGTGTAACAAGCACTCATCACACTGAATGGAGGAGTATGTTTTCCAACAGAACAGGACTGACAATTAGAAATACTTACGGGTGGATGAGCACAAAGATGCAGATGAAGATAAAAATAAATGGCTACTAAAATGAATGCTTCAGGCTGGTTTTGAAGATGTAGATTTTTTTTAAAAGCTAGTGTTGATTATAAAGCATTATGTTAGCAGTAGAAATGATGATGCACACATGGAAAAATTCTTTCTTAACACAGTGCTTCAAGAGGCCTTGAGAGGTGCAGCACAAAGGTTTGTGTGCTGGGAAGAAATCCCAAAGCCTGCCATCTGTGGTCTCCAAGGATACTGGAGGACCTCTGGATGGGGTCTGCTTTCCCCAAAGCTCACAAGCCGTGGCTCCAGCAGCTCCAGATTTTATGTTTCTCTTGTTTCCTCCTCCCTCCACGTGCCCAGCACAGTCCTGGGCCCCGTAAGCATCTGGGCACAGTTATTGATTGCTTGATTGTAATTTCTAGCAATGAAATGTATATGATTTACAGTACGTCTGCAAAGAGGTGAACTTACCTGTCAAGTCTCCTGATATCGCAAACTGAATAGCAGTTTTGCCTCACATCCTTTTCCAAAGAGGTAGCCAATGCTGATGCATCCACTTCTCGGTGAAGTCGGCATAAATGAGGGTAAGAATCCTGTGGACATGTCAAGGAAGTGGCCCAGGGTCTCTCTGTGTCTTGGTCCCATTGTGCCTCTCTGGTGGCCGGTTGGAAAGACTCTGGCCTGAGACCCAGGCCTTCCCCTGCATCTGGGGAGGCACTGTCCCTTCGGCTGTCCTCTTGATCCAGGCTGGGGCTCTGCTCTGAGTCAGTGCATGTCGCTCTGGTGAATTCTTTGTCTGCTGACAGCATGGGTGTCTATTGAAAAATAATGGTCAGGATTACTGGATCCACAGTGCACACTGAGCAAGATCTAAAAATTGATTTTAAAAAAATAATAAGCTTTTTCTTCACGTAATTGGAGAGCAGAGCCATTAAGAGATGGGATCAGTCTCCTTCTGTCAGAACCCCAGCTCCCACTGAGCAAAACACTGAACCATCTCTTAAGCCTCTTAGCTTGGGGCCATTGGAAGCTCTTGATAAATGTGAGCATCATTCATTTATCAATAAAAATATCTTGAAAATGTAGAAAATATGAAAACAGAAATAATGACTGTTTATTCCACTTGGCAATAAGGAATTTTTTAAAGACTCTTTGTCTTCATTGGTCCTCAAAGATGGTCCATTTTCACAGCTTCATCTCCCCTCCACCATGATGCCCTTTCCTGGGTCTCCTCCTCACTTCTCCAAACATTTCTTGATTCTCATCTGCTTACATCCCTACTGGGCCTTTTAGTTTCTGATTTTGATGACCAGCTGTGACATGCTAACACTGCTCAACTTTCTATAGGTTAAAAAAAAAATCTGTGCTTCAGTAGAAAACCATGCATTGTCCACAGTACAGCCTTCTGGGTTATCTGATTCTAGCTATATTCCTTGTTTTGATCTATTTTAAAACTCTGTGTAACTAAAAATGCTGCTCTTTGAAAACTCTTTTGAGCAAGTTTGAACATCTGCCTGGTTCCCTCGTGGAATGAGTTAAATAAAATCTTGAACATGTGTTCATCATTATGTTCTCTCTCCGTAAGAATCGTGACTTTACCTTTTCTTGAAAATTATCTTTTACTACTTCTGTCCCATGACCTACATCCCTAATGTGACAGAGCACATGGACTTTCGAGCCAGGCGGGACTGGGCTCTGGGCTCTGGGCTCTGGCCCCTGCCCTCTCCTGTAACACAGGAACCTGTCCCCTGTCCCCCAGCCTAGTGGTCTCCTCACCTTTCTGATTGCCCACTCCCCACAGTGAGGGAGGATGCACCTCCAAAAATATGCATTTTTATGTAATTATAAATTACAAACACTTAGGACTCTACTGACATATGAGTACACTCTAAAGGGTATACTCAAAACTGAAATTTGAAATGGATGAGACAAAAAAAGAAATAGTGACTGTCTGTTCAGTTCTTCTGCTCATATTTTAAATGGGTTGTTTGCTTTTTAATTGAAGTACAGTTGATTTTAAAAATAAAAAAAAAGAAGATGACTAACAGGTTCTGGAATCTAATATCCAGCACGGTGATTCTAATGACACAGTATCCCACTAATGATACTGTATCATATACCTGAATGTTGCTCAGAGTGTAAATCCAAAACGTTCTCACCCCCAAAAAGAAACAATAATTATGTAACAGAATGGAGGGAGTAGCTCACATAATAGTGGTAATCATTTTGTAGTTTATAAATGTATCAAAACACATTGTTATGTGATATTATTACAATGTAATATCAATTATATCTCGATACAGCTGGGGAGGAAAAAGAGACAGCAACTCCTAAAGGGAAAATGATACCAGCTTTTTATGCAATCTTGAAGAAAGATCCTTCAAAATATCTACTAAAAAAAATTGGGACTCAAAATTAAATAGATACATTCATACATACATACATACATACATACATAGTAAAAGGAGTTATCTTTTCTCTCATCCTCCTTGGGAGACCTCCAAAAACCTCCTTTTCAATCACTCCTCTCCTTCCAGCTCATCACCCCCAGGACTCATTCTTCAGAAATTCTTCAGCCTCTTGAAGGCTTCCAGTGGAGGGACCTGCTGCTTTTTCACCACTGCTCCCAGTCCCCATCTTCAAAGTCCTTCCTCACTTTCCTTTTACTCTGCTTAGATTCCATAGTCTGTCCCATAAACACTCCCTGAAAAACAAATTCCTGAGCTCCCATCCTCTCCCCCATCCCTGCTTCCATCACATGTTGCTCACAGGTGCTGGATTTTAATTCCAACTCTTAGTGCCATGATATGTGGGCTCCACACCTGCTTCTGAGCCCCTGCTAATGCCACAGATAGGAGCACAGATGTCAAATAGGCACTCAAGACTTCCAGGTCATCTTCCTCTACGTCCTTAGTAAATTCACTTCCCTGTTCTCTCTACCCTCTAAATGATCTCTCATCTTTTTTCTCCACGAGTGTCCAATAACCACCCCCTGCAAGTTGCCTCTTACTTTACAGTGAGAAGGGACACATTCAGAGAAGAATCCTTCATCTCCCCATTTCAAAGTCTACCAACCAGCCTGCACCCCTACTCCAACGTCCTCTCCCACCTACCAATCCACCCCTTTCCTCTGCTCTTCGAATGAGTGCCTACACTCACTATTTCATTGACCCCTCCTTCTCCCTCGTACCCGCTCCAACCAGGCTTCTGTCCTCATCATTCAATAGAAAGAGCTCTAATCAGGGTCCCTCATGGCCTTCATCTCTCTAAAGCCACAGGATAATTCTCTGCCCTCATTTCACTCTACCTCTCAGCAGCATTCAACATAACCGGCCCCTCCTCCTTCTGGAGAGCAACCTTCACTCACTTACTCTAAAAGTGGAGTTTTCCCTGAACGCCATCCTTCAGTGGTTCTCCTACCACCTCCCAGGCCCCTTCTTCCCAGCCTCATGTGCGGCCTCATTCCTTTGACCCAGACCTCTCAATGTTGGGGTGTCCCACGGCTCACTTCTCAGCCCTCTTCTTGACTTTTCTTCTCAGCCCATCTATGGCTTTCGGTGGCAGGGTTTGCTGATCATTCAACATTCACTTTTTCCAGCCCTGACCCTATGCCAATTCTCCACAAACAACTACCTAACAGACATCTCCATTGGGCGTTCCGTAAACACTTCAGTTTGCAGGCTAGCAAGAATGACAGCTTCTCCCTGACGCCCTCTAAACTGCGCCCACTAAGCTCGTCCTGTCTTTGTAAGTGGTGCCACCATCCATCCAGTTGCTCAGGCCAAACTCTACCCTCTATCCTCATACCCATATCGACTCCCATGGGTTCTGCCTCCCAGATGTACCCCAAATCTTACTACTTGCCAGCTATTTGGCTACAACCTGCGTCGAAGTCACAATATCCCACCTGAATCACTGCCACGTTACCCGATCCACTCCATCTCCACCAGCAACCTAAGTGATCTCGCTAAAGCATAGACCAGCTGAGGCCACATTCCTGCTTGACCCCTCCCAGCCCCGTGGCTTCCCATTGCAGCCACGATAGAACCAGCACCTGATCGAGACCTACAGAGCCCTACATGATGTGGTCCCCGACTCCCTCTACAACTCCTCCCGCTCCACACTCTCCCCCATTAACTACAGTCCAGGCACAACCATTATCTCTGTGTCCCTCAAACATGCAGGTCCTTCCTGTCTCAGAGCCCTTGCACTTGCTCTTCCTTCTGCCTGGAGTGACCCTGCTCCAGATGTCTGCACAGCTGCCTCTTCTCATAACTACTTTGTTCTAGTTATGAACTAAATGCTCCCTTCCTTGATCTTCAGTCTGAGCCATGTGGATGAATGAAAATTCTCCTCCCACTTGGCCCCCAGGTATGAGGAGAAAGCAAGCATGCTGCCATTCCTCACCCCAAGCCCTTGCCACCAGAATCTTCTGGGCTCTCCCGAGAGGAGCTCTTCTCCAGGACAGAAGGACGGCTATTTCTCTGGCATTTCCCAGCTATCTCAACAAAAACACAGGCTCCTGGCACTTTGATCTGATCTTTATGTGTGTGAAACTTGACCCTCTCCCACTCTGTTCAGTTGTTTAACACAATTGCCTTTTTTTTTTGGACCTTCTTTTCCAAACTGGCAGCTTTCTGATTTATTTTCCCATAGCTCTTTTCTCACCAAAGTTGGTATCAAATGACCTCTCAGAGTCCAAACATCACGAGGATCTGCGTCACAAGTTCCCTGTGCTGTCTTTAGTGACCGTCACCCTCAGTGATGGTAAGTGATCAATTTCATCCACATCTTATCCACGTCTCTGATGAGAAATAAGAGGCCTGGAGAAGTCAGGCAAGTGCCCGAGGCCCACGTAGCAAGCAGAGCAGGTGCAGCGACCCCGAGGTGCTCACACAGACCCTCCTCCAGGACTAAGGCCCCCCTCTCCCGGCTGCTGGGAGTGCTGGCTGCTGGCTGCCCACAGCTAGCCTCTCCTCAGGCATTATGCTCTGCTCAAGGGAACTGTCTCAGCCGAAGTCAGGCCCCCTCCCTTGGGGCAGCCCGTACCCCAGTGTTGGTTGATGCAGACAGCAGAGGTCCAGGCTCTTTTGTCCCAGTTCGGGACAGCACTACGGGGCCATCCCAGCTTCAGAGCTCCCTGTGGGGTCAGCCGAGGCCCCTGTTGCAGCTGCACCACATTAACTTCCCCTTCCACCCAGCCCTGCCTCCCGCACCCTCACAAGGGTGTTTCCAAGAGCCAGCCCCATGAGCCTCCAGTCTGTGTCCCAGGAACACAACAGGTGATGGTGAATTTTATGTGTCAACTTGGCTGGGCCACAGGCCCCAGATATTTGGTCAAACACTAATCTAGATGTAAAATAAGGGTACTTTTTAGATGATCTTGGTATATAAATCAGCAGACTTTGAGTGAAGCAGATGGCCCTCCATGAGGTGGGTAGGCCTTGTTCAATCAGTTGAAGGCCCTAAGAGAAAAAAGACTGAGATTCCCAGGAAAAAAGAAATTCTGCTTCCAGACTGTCTTCAGAACCAAGATTGAAGTAACAACTCTCCTGGGTTTCCAGCCGGCCAGACTGCTCTGCAGAATTTACACTGGCCAGCCCCACAATCATGTGGGCCAATTCCTTAAAATCTCTCTCTCTATATATATATGTATATATACACATACATATATACATACATACATGTATATATGTATATAGACATATACACGCATATACTATGTATATATAAATTTATAATATATATTTATAAACACACATGCATATACACATATATGTCCTATTGGTCTTATTTCTCCAGAGAACGTGACTAATAGAGGCTTCAACATAAAAATTCTGGCTTGTCCTGATTTCCATGCCTCGCTTCCTTGCACTGAATCACACGTGCTTTAGGAGGGTGGACATGCGTCTTGTTCTCTATTTCACTCCTTAGAATGCAAATTCTTACCTTCCCTTTGTCTGATTTTAGATCTACTCCCCTTGTTTCGGGGTTCCCCTCTCTGATGCTTGGGTTTCCGGAGAGCCTGGCTCTAGAAGTTTCACAGCCAAGATGTAAACATGGAATCATCTACAGGAGGACCCAGATATTGGGAGAGGCAGAAGTGGGGAGAGGAAGGAGGAGGCAGAGATAGGACCTCATGAACTTGTCACAGACCAGCTGAGGTGTGGGGGCCAGCTATTCTCCTGCCCCAGTGAAAGAAGGTGGCCTTGAACCCTTCTGAAAGCAGAGGTGGCCTTCTCAGGATCCAGCAGACAAGAAACGCGGTGCTGAGCGTGAGGCACGTGGAGAAACGGAGGGCACCACGTCTTACCTGCCATCCTTGGTCCATCTCAGGTAGCGTGCCTGGAGGGGGTCGGCAAAGCAGGAGCGTGACTTCCTGCGAGGCCCCGCGCAGTAAATGGAGCACCTCCTACCAGAAACCAAAGCCCGTGGTTAGATGTGGGGCTGGCGTGGCTGCGGGATGTCCTTCTCTGGGCTCCGCACTATCTTCCTGGCCCCGGCCTCTCCTCCTCCCACCTCGATCTGTTTCTTGGCTCCACGGAACTTTGGAGAACAATGTTGTGGGCCCGACTTCCCCAAAATGCATGGATCCAAGGCCGTCAGCTTGTGGTTCCCACAGAGACCAGGCATGGATGCTGAGCTGGAAGTGGCCAGGGTCTGCCCAGGGTTTTTCCATGGCAGCATCTGCCAGTCAATACTGATCCTTTTCTTCAGAGAGAGAGTGACCCAAACAAATGACTGTTTCCATTTCAACCTCCTCTCCCTCCCGACCCACTCATCTGGGGGCTGCCAGTGATGTAGGTGTCCCTGCCTTGATCTCTAAAGGCTGACATTCAGCCCTGAGCTCCTTGTGAGGCTCAGCTCAGGCCCTCAGAGCCTCTCACCTGGGGAATTACAGGGCCCTCCTCTCTGCTCCCTGCCTCCTCCAGATTCACCCACCTTCCTCCCTCTGAATCACTAAAGTGCATCATTCCAAAAGGCCTTTATAAACCGGTTCTCCTGTTGAACCCCCTCTCTGGCTCACCTCATGCAGAATCTGCTCTTACTTGCCATTGCCTCTCACCCTGCTCTCTTTCCCACCTGCTCCCCCCTATACCCACATCCTAAGCTCCCACCATGCTGAACCTCTTGTTCCAAGCCACCGTCTCAAAGCCCAGAGTGTGAGGCTGGCTGAATCACTCTTATCACCTATCCAAACCATGGTTTCTCAGCCTCTCGGCACTGTTGACCTGGTGGCATTTCAGGCTGGATAGCTCTGTTGCCAGGGGTGTCCTGTGCATTGCGGGATGTTGAGCAGCACCTCTGGTCTCTACCCACTAGATGCCAGTAGCATCCGTTAGCTGTGACAATCCCAAATGTCTCTGGACTTCGCCAAATGTCCAGAGAGGCGAGATCACCCCCACTCGGGAACCTCTGATCTGGACGCTACTCAGCACCCCCCAGCTGTGATGGACTGCCACAGAATGGGCTCCTTCTTGGTTCCCCAGTGCAAGCCCTGGAGCAGGGGTTTTTAATCTCTCATGACACTTATCTCCCATGGTAAGTGTTGTTCTCTTGTCTGTCCCACCACCCCTATGAGCTCTGAGACTATGAAATGTCCACCTCTGTGTCTTCAGTTCCTCCTACAGTTGCTGGCCCAGCATTGGTCCTCTGAGGACAGTTCCTGCATGAGACAAAGGATGCAGGATGGAGGACGGCCTGTCTACCCTACCCCTGTTCTGAGGGTTCTGCATCCCTTCCAATCCCACCCAGAGCCACTCTCTACCTTCATCCGCCTTCCTCTGTGCCCTGGAGGTGGACATGGGCTACAGAGGGACTTCCTGCTGGGCTCAGCCAATGGGAGGGTGAGCAGTGATCGGGGATGAGGAGGAGAGGGAGGTCCACGGGTGCTTTCCTGTCTTCCTCCCCTTGGGGTTGTCACGGGATGACTGTGTCCCTCGGCTAATTTCATAGCTCATGTCAGCGAGCCTGCTCCACCTAGCTCGCTCCATTTCTGGAGGTGGGTAATTGCTCTTTCCCATCTCCCTTTGGACTTGGGTTGGCAGGGGGGAGGGAGGGTGGATAACTGTTTCCACTGCTCCCAGCCCCAGGGCTCTATACTCTCCCTTGAGTTTCCCACACACCTCCACCCCTTTATTACACTTTCTCAAACGGTCCAATTTCTGCCAGGACTCTGACTGATATGTATAATATTTCATTGAGATTCTGTGCTATAAGTGTTAAGAAGTGTCCACTTTTTACTCTCTTTTTACTTTTGGGTTTTTGTGAGGGGGTATTGGCAAGGGCAAGGTGATTAGGTTTGTTTGTTTGTTTACAGAGGTGCTGGGGATAGAACTCAGGACCTCGTGTATGTTAAGGCTTATTCAAGGTCAGATATTTAAGAACTGAGACGGAAAATTTAATCTGAGAATGTTCTTCCAGTTTCTCTCTGTGTGTGATCCCAGTGCAGGCTCCAGGTGTGATATCCGAGAGCCCGGAGAGACCCCGTGGTGAGTGGGCCTGAAAGGAGCGCGGCTGACCTCAGCCTGTGTGCAGGGCTGCATCCCTCACGGCCTCCCACCTGGAAGTCGAGGCCCTCCGTGGGCCTTCCGTTCACGGCCAGGATGATGTCACCAGCTGCGATGGCCCCGTTCTCCTCTGCCGGCTGCCCCGGGAAGAGCCGTTTAATCCTCAGCAGATTGTTCCTGAGGTGGCTGCAGTGCTCTCTCTCCATCTGCACGAAACTGAATCCCAAACCACTGATGTTCTTTTTCAATTTGACTTCAAACTTAGGACCTGTATCGTGGGATGCGAACGAGATCCACCCTTCAGTAAGTAGATGACAAATGAAATAGGCCGGGCTCCAAATGCAAATTGTCAGGTAAATGGATTTTTTTCTCTTTTACTTGGAAAGATTTCATTCTGCTAATTGTTAGGACAGAGTGCATTATACATGCGATAGGCCAGTGCCATCTGTTGGAAATATGTGAGCTGCAGATGCACACCATGTACGTAATTTCAAAATTTCCAAATAGCTACATTTTAAAAAGTAAGAGGAAACAGATAAAATAAACTTAATCAAATATTTAAGTTAACCCAACATAGCTAAAATATTACCACTTCAACATGTAATCAAAGGAGAAAATATTGAGATATTTTACGTTCTTCTTATGAACTAAGTCTTTAAAAGTTGAGTAGGTATTTTACCATTTGGATTGGCCACACTTCAAGTACTCAGTGGCCACACTGGCAAGTGGGTACCCGATTAGACATAACAATTACAGATAATCAACAAAGTTTATATGTAGAGATACAATTTGTAGACATACACAATGCGCCTACATCATTTAGTAAAATTTGGATCACATATATTTGTATTACTCCTTTAGAATCCCAATCATTTTTTAGTATACTTGAAAAATTTTTTTTGCATAATTAAACCATGGAGACAATTATGGCCAACTCTATGAAAATGTTTAGGTGTCATATCGTTCAGCCCTAGGAACTGACCATAAGATAAAACAGCTGCTGCTGGGCACTCAAGATGGACACAGCTCCAGGAAATCTGGCAGCCAAAGAGGCTTCTGGGCCTCCCCAAGTCTGCCTTCATCAGCTCAGTTGGTAGTCAGTCAGTAGAAGGACAGAGCACTAACTTGTGAACCATGATTGGGGGCAACAAAGAAAAGTGGAGCAGTTGGGTTCAGACATATCAAATGACCAATTTCACATCATTATTACCTGAACCTGTTAGCTCATTCCAAAGTCAATTTCTCAAAGGCCCTCACTGAAGTGAACAGAGGAACAGTGAAAGAGAAAACAGAATTGTTTTATGCACACATGTTCCCCCTCCACTCAACCCCATCACTGACTATGGTTACCTTACCTTCAACTTGATTTCAGAAAAATCTCTCTAAAGATGTTAAAGGAGGGTTCCTTCTGGATATATGCCCAGGAGTGGGATTACTGGGTCATATGGTAAGTCTATTTCTAGTCTTTTGACACTATTTACAATAGCCAAGACATGGAAATAGCCTAAATGTCCATCAACAGATGACTGGATAAAGAAGATGTGGTATATTTATACAATGGAATACTACTCAGCCATAAAAAACATAATGCCATTTGCAGTAACATGGATGTCCCTGGAGAATGTCATTCTAAGTGAAGTAAGCCAGAAGGAGAAAGAAAAATACCATATGAGATTGCTCATATGTGGAATCTGAAAAAAAAGAAAAAGAAAAGAAAAGAAAAGAAAAGAAAAAGACAAATGAACATAAATACAAAATGGAAACAGACTCATAGACATTAAATACAAATTTGTGGTTGCCGGGGGGGAGGTGGGTGTGAAGTGACAGACTGGGAGTTCAAAATTTGTAGATACTGACAGGTATATATAGAATGGATAAACAAGATTATACTGTATAGCACAGGGAAATATATACAAGATCTTGTGGTAGCTCACGGTGAAAAACTATGTGACAATGAATATATGTATGTTCACGTATAACTGAAAAATTGTGTTCTACACTGGAAAATTACACAACACCGTAAACTGACTCAATAAAATAAAATTTAAAAAATAAATAAATAAAGGGGTTGAAAAGCTCCAAATCACGATACACTAAGGAAATAAATGTTTTCCTAGCAGGAACCAAAATCACAGGGAAATGAAGAGAGGCAGCCCATCAGAAGGTATGCGATAATTCCCCTGTAAACTGATCGTAGGTTTGCTTTTTAAATGGATGCTATTAACAAGGCTAGGTTTCTGAACACCTTCCTCTCCCCGCCCACCTCATCATTTCTCAGATTTTTGTCCTGGCTGGAACATGGAGCTTTGATCAGAAAGTGCATGAGCCTTTCATTCCAATGTCATCCACAAATACTTAACATACAAACATTCCGGCAGCTGATAAGAAAACCTCAGAAGGCTCGGGGGCAGCATTATGCCTGGTAATCATTTGGGGACAATGCATTTTTTTCCAGAAATGTGTTTCTTTCGATTGACTTCCATCACATCAGAAAACTGGCCACATGATGACCACCCCTGCTCGTTATCTTTTGAGATCCCAGAGGAGGCCTTCCTGGCTTCCCTTTGGAGTTGACGGTTCAAAAGCAGCAGAAAGTGACATGACAATAGTGACACTCAATTCTCTCTCGTCTCACCATCTGTTGCCAAGACACAGCTCGCGGGCCTTCCAGGCAAGACCGTTGCCAAGGAAACAGCCGTGCATTCATCTCCCATTCTGTTATTAGCAGAAGGACACTGCTGTGCCGTCCTGGGCCCTCTTCTCTCCAAGACCAGCCTTGCAACCTAGAAGGATGGGTAGACAAACTCAGTTGACACCTCATGTGGCAGTCAGAAGGCTCTCCCATCACCCTGCCAATGCTTCTTAATTTTCTGAAACTTCCAGTGGCTGCTTCATCTGAATCTCAAATCAAAATCTCCAATCTAGACTATTTGTTGGGGTCCAGAGCTATATTTCCATCTGTCTGTTGGACAAATGCTCCTGGAAGTAACATGTGTACTTCTATTTCAGGGTATTCAGGGTCAAATTCAACTTCTTCCTCTCACTCATCCTCACTTCCCCCTCTTCATTCTGCCTAAAACATCCCTCCTCTTGCATTTGCTCTCTCAGAACATGGACCCATCCTTCACCTAACCTCCCAGGGGCCACACACACGCAGTGGTCCAGCTCTCCCCCTCCTCTGCCCTCCAGATATCCCTCTGGCTTCTAAGACTTGCATGTTCTCCATCAGAAACAACCCCCACAGTGCGCCCCTCCACTCCATTCCCTTTCCTGCCACCAGTGGTCAGCTGGACCTGGGAAAGCTCCCTCTAATTTGGCTCCCTGGACCCTGTCTCCTCCGCCTGCAGTCTACTCCTCTCAAGGTTACCCGTGGATTGATATAAGACACGAGTTGAACATGCAACACTCTTGATTGAAAGCCTCCAGTGTTACCCATCAACTAAAATCCAACCCCCCAGCACAGAATCCCAGGCCTATGTCCATCCAGCCTCCCCCTTTTCTTTCTGGTTCAGTTTCCCGTCTTTCTTCTCCACACACTGCATGTTACCCGGAGTGTGATTCAAGACCCACTGGCAAGACATCACTTGGAAGATTTTGAGAAATGCCGAGCTTCCATTTAGAGGACCTGACCCTGGCAACATCCTTCTGTAGCAACTGTCATTCAGCCCCAAGCCTGTGACCCCCGAGTAGTAATTCCTACCTGTCACCACCACCAGTAGGCTGGCCAAGTACCTTCTCTAAGCATGTCCATTAGCAAAGTTCTAAAGAACAGAGAATACTAGTAAATTAGGACTCTGTTCTCAAAATACGTCAATCAAGGTTGTCAAGATAAGTAAGTCTCACCAAAAGCCAGAAGAATGCTTTGGAAAAGGAAGCATAAAAAGGGGCCCTTCCACTTCTCTGTCAGCCAAAAGGGGCCCCGGGAGTCCTTTGTGTCTCTGCCAACTCCCCAGTTACCAAGGGGGAGACGTCCACTCTATTGCTTAGGACATCAGGACACCGTGACAAGGAAAAGCTCCCACCCTCAAGCGGAGGATGGGACACAGCGTAGTGACATCCAGATGCTGCCTAGGCACCCCACAGAATAAGAGCCTAAGGGGTAAACACTCTTGGGGTCTTGAATTCCTCTCTCATGGTAACGAGAGGACCCCAGGCCCGTGTGGCCTGTAATCACACAGGGTGATGGGAATGGCACATCCTTGGTGGGAGGAGGGTGTCAGCACGTGCAAAGGCAGTTGGTGAGAAGCCCTGAGAGTGGACGGAGGCATTGGCCACTTAGAGCTGGAGCAGAGGGCGTGAGAGGGGAAGCCAGAGCCAGGCAGGAGAAGTCGCTTCTCGCCGGCAGCTCCGTTCAGCTGATGCCAGAATCTAGGCAAGTAACACCCAGGCTTTTCAAGGCTCTTTACGAGGTGTGAGCTTTCCTGCCTGGGAACATCTGCCCTCTTCCTCCTGTCACACCGCCACAGAAAAGGGTTGGGAACAGGAACATGTGAAAGGCAAAAAAAAAAACAAAAAAAACAAGGTGGACAAAAAGAAAGTCTCATTTTGTTTCCTGCCCACCCCTCTTCCCACCCAGAGGCAACTGCAGCTGCTGACAGTGCCCAGGAAAGCTCTGGGAGGAAGGGAAGCTCCCCCATAATGGTGCACTCACCTGCCCGGAACCCTTGAGGCACTGCACAGCCTGCTTGTGGGTGAGGCCACACAGACTCACGCCATCCACCTGCAAGAGCCGGTCACCTGGGAGGGGGACAGACGTCATGTCCCCGAGCTCCTGAGGCTGCAGGAAGGACTCTTCTGGGAGGCCCCTGCCCCGCGCCCTTCCACGCAACCTCAAGGAGGAGCAGAAAGCTGAGCTTCGAGGAGCCCCACCAGGGCCCGAGTACCTGCCACCTGTCTGAACACCTCCACAGAACAGTTGTCTGCAAAGCCCCCTAGTGCTGGCGCACAGAGTAGGCCGGCCAGCCCTCTGCAACCTTATCCTTTCTCCTCTCTTCCCGAGAAACTTTTTGCTAAGTTTTTTCAAGTCGCTTAGGCATCCCATTTATATCTCCAGGATATTTTTTATTTCAAAAAAGGTCAGAGCGACCCAATTAATGCCAGGGATTCTGGGATTCTAGGGGAAAAGGCGATAGGTAAGAGCTTAGGTGCCCTTTTTAGCTCACTTCTGGCCATTCTGGAGAACAGTAAAAATCAGCCCCTTCCTTCAGAGCAGTGGGAAGGCTGGCTGGTGTCCCTCACTCCTGATACAAAAATAGGGGTCACAATGCTCGCTCTGTCCTCCGGGGGAAGCTCTGCTCCCAGGAAGGCCAAACAGCAACAAGCTTATTTAAAATCTCATAGTTTCAAATCACCTTATGTTTTGCAAGCATTTGAGCCTCACGCTAACATATTAAGTAGGTGAAATCATCTCCTCTTCCAGGTAAGGAATCCATGACCTGGAGAGGCAGTCATTTGCACAAGGTGTCAGAGTGGGAGTGGGACGGGCCTGCAGGCTGCACTCCCCACCCCCCACCCCCAGGCCAGGGCGCATCACACCACAGAATGCAGATCCCAGCAGGACTCCACCCCTCACCCTGCAGGATCCGCCCTTCCTTGGCAGCCGGCCCTCCGGGAACGATGGATTTCACATAGATACCTCCACAGGGCACGCTTGTGTTAATGCCACCCTGGAAAACACAATGAAAAACTTAACCACCCATCTGCCTCCTCCTGAAGGGGCCTCCCCAACCTCTCTGACTCAGAGAGCCCCCATCTGCCTGTCACTCTATCCCATCCCATCATCTCCACATGACACCATCTCATACAATCCACTTGTTTCTTTAAGCTATATTATCCGCTGAGCAGGAAGTTTAGATGCTCATAAGAAGTATAATTATATGAGTTGTGTGAGGGAGCTGTGCCGTATCCAGCTCAGCACTGGCCCATGGCAGGTGCTCATGAACCAGAGTCACATCAATGCAGCACATCTTCTCCCCATAAGCAGCAACCAGCAAAGACGGAGGCAGCTCTGGGCCCACAGGTTGGTGCCTGGCATGCCCTGTATTGTGTGTGTTGCTTTGTGGATACAAAAGTAGAATTCAACTACACAGTATTCTGCAACTTACTTTTTTTTTAACTTAACAATAGATCATGAATATCCCTATAGGTCACTAGGTAAAGATCTAATTCTATATTTTTCTCTAATTTATCCATGCGTGTATATGCAAATATATATATAAAGATTTTACATCAGTGGGATTATATCATTCTTGTACAGTTTTTAATCCTCCCTCCTCCAGGGTCTGCCAGATGGAGCTCAGAAATCAAATGCAAAATGTCCATCCTGAATGGAGGTCTTGCCAATCTGACTTTGTCCTGACCTTGGAAGTGGGAGTGCTAGGCTCCACTGTGACCCTGCTCTGGATGACCTGGAATTGCCCCACTCACCTTTGGCTTGTGTTCCTGAAGCATCACCCTGCTGTCCTTTCCTTGTTGTCTGGAATAACTTTAATTCCACCCACACTGCTTGGAGTGTCTACTCACCCCATGTTTGCCATTGGTCCCCCAGTTCCACTTAGAACTCCCATCCTACTTCCTATGAGCACCTAAACTTCAGAGGCTGGTATGAGAGTGGAATGGCCACCAAGGCTCCAATGAACCCCTTTTCAACTATTTACTTTCCAAGCTTTCCTAAGAACTCTTACAGTCACGCTGAATCCAAGTGTCCCATCTTCTTTAACCAGCTCCACGAAGTAGATTTCACTGGCATTGGTTTCTGAGGGTGATGAAGGACGAGAACCAGCATCCTGCCACAAACAAACAAAAAAAAGTAAGAAGGCCTGCAGGCACTTGCCTAAGCAGATGGTCCCTCTTAGCTCTCACCTGCTCTCAGGAGCCAGCAGCACTGCACACCAAAAACAACCGTAAGTTTCCGGGCTGAGCTAACAGGGGATTCACTCCCAGCATTGTCAGTTCCTCCTTATATGACCTTGGACCAGTCTCTTGGTCTCTCCAGTCTTGTTTCCCAATCCATGGGACTGGAATGTGAGATCGCCCTTTAACAGTGACTATGAATGATGCTAGCACATAGCAGGGGCCCAGTAGGTTCCCTCCTGTTTCCACTCAAGATGCAAATATTATTATGAAAACTGAAGTCATCTGGACACTTCCTAGTAGCTTCACACATGACACCAATCAAGAGACGGCATGCTGGGTACCAGATACCCAGCAGCTTCTTGGGCAGAAGATAACCTTGGGAGGACCTGCAATCATCCTGAGCGAGAGCAGCCGCACTGGGTTTCCACAGTAGTTGAATGCTTGAGGGAAGGACAGAAGATCTGTCTCGTGCCTGGCATTTTGCTCAGTGCCGTGACATGTACGGTATGTTTATTCATCCATCTGATCGTGTGACAACCATTCACTGAGCACCTACTACAGGCCAGGTATTGTGAAAGTTGGAGAGATGGCAGTGATAAGACAGACCTTCCCCTGTTGAAGTATTTCTAGTGGGGAAGGGACTTAATGAACTGTGCCAAGAAGAGCTGACCTGTCTCAACCTCATTTTTATGTCTTATGAGAGAGGTAATGATGCCTGTGCATTGAGCTGTGGCGACAAGAGTGCTGAGGGTCTGGCTGGCAGCAGGACTCCATGAATGCTAGTTCCTTCCTGAGTGGCTCTGGTGCTCCCCCGGCCATGGTACATCCCATGAAGAGCTGGACGAGGAGTCAGCAAAAGAATAATACTTACAATGCACATTGACTGAGTGACTAACCACGCGCTACATCACACAAGCTGTGAGTGGGGCAGTGGCTGAGATGAAGGAAAACAGAAGGCTTTTCCCCGGGCAGAGCTAACCAGAAGCCGGAGGGCCAACTCAGCTGGTGAATGTCAGCTTCTCAGGGCCCAGAGGAGAAGGGAGAGAGGTCTGGAGGTGCAAAGAGAGACCTTTCCATCCAGTGTCTAAGGAAACACAGCTGGAGGGTGGTGGCCCTGGGACTAATGTAGACAGCTCTCTGCATGCCAAAGCCAGCCTTCATCTTCTTCCTCCTTGATGTGTTGTCAAGGGCAAAGCCAATGAGCTGCCGCTTGAAGCCCAACTAGAAACCAAGGACATGAAATGTCTGATTGTCCGTGTGTTGCCCTTGGCAACATCTGGTTATTACCAGTAACAGTTATAATTGGTGACTAAGGTCATGGGAAGCTCAGTCCACTGTAGGCATTTATTTCCATTTTGCAGATGAGACAGCTGATGGTTAGAGGGGTTAGGTACCCTCCCTCCACCTGACGGCAGAGAATGAGGAGGGACTTTGGAGCCAGGGCTGTTGGACTCCACAGTCTATTCTCTTTCCCCCAAATTCAAGCAAGAGGGCGATTACCTTGAGTGGCAGAGTGGACAGCCGAGGCCTCATCCCGGGCATCAATCTCTGAGTCCGAGCCATGCCTAGTTCTTCACTGACTCTCTCCTGGTCTTGTGTATGTGATGGCAAACCTCCTCGGTGCCCGTCGCTCAGGCTGTCTGTAGAGCAGACCCTGGAATTGGCCGTGCTCTTCTTCTCCTCGCTGGAGGTATTGCCACAAACACCTATACAACCAAGCCAGGAAGAAGTCAGCAGCTTGGAAAGGCTGGCATCTCGGTGGCATTTCTATGTGGGGCACAGCGTTTGCCTCCAATGAGAGAGATACCTTTTATAGTTGCTGGGGAGCATGTAAGGTTAGCACCTCATGAAAGGTGATGTGTTTAGAATAGAGGAAGGGAAGATTCTGGATGTGACTTTGAAATCTAAATAGAGCTTGTGTGACCTGGTTATGAAAACACAGGAGCAAGGGACAGCGAATAATGCCAGTTTCCCTTTATTAAGCTCTTGCCATGTGATGGGCACTACACACACACACGTATACACAAACACACACATACACACATCTATCTATTTTCATCTTTTCAAAATACCCACCGGGAAGTTGTGATCTCAATTCAAATATGAGAAACTAGAGTCGAAAGGATTAAGATCTTGCCCAAGATCCCACAGCCAGCATGTGGTGGTGCTCTTAAAGCCAGCCTCTTCCAGAGAGCCTGCGGAGCTCACCTGTAATCGTCATGTGATCCAAAGACCAATATTTCGGGTCCTTTGTGGGGACATGGGACTAACCAGACAGTAGGCTCCCTTTGGATCAAGGCTGGGCCACTGAGTCCCACTTACCCTGTGTCTGACCCGCGGGCTGACACAGATCAGAGGAAACAACATAAGGTCAAGAACCAATAGGTAAAGCCTCCGGCAAGATACTTAACATTTCTGGACCTCAATTGCCTTATCTCTGAAATAGACATAATATTAACTACCTTGTAGGGCTGGTGAGGATTAGAGATTATATAGGGAGAGAAGTTTTTATATACAGAGAGAGAGAGAAAAAGATTATAGCTCCGTACATTGTACTGAGAGCCTCAGTAAATGTGTTTACTATTCTCATGTTAATATCAGCTATTCACCAAATGTATATGGGGAGAAAGAATACGGTTAGATTTTCTTTAGATCTGGACATATGAAAACACAAATAAGTTTATGACTTTTGATACAGACGCATTAGCACCCAGGAAAGTGCCCAAACACGGTGAATGAACTTCGTTGAATGAATTAGTTGTTAAGCCTAAAGGTATTCGGTAGAGAGCGGTGGGGCCACCCTTCAGTCAGGCCTTATTCCTGGCTGTTTTATTGACGGATTCTCCTGTCATTGTCCTCCTGGCAACGTGGGAAGCATCTGTTCATTTTGCCCCCCACACTCCGCAGGAGATGAGGATGGCACTTATGACTGGGTTAAAATATCAAGGTGTGCAATTTATGTCCTGCCTAATGGAAATTCAAGCCGGGAGAACTTCCACAGGTAATTTACACTCACTCCGTCATAGACGGTGATGGCTGCTCAGAAAGGCAATGCTGTCTGTCTTGTCCCTGCTCTTCAACCTAGAGCACCTGCCCCAACAGCAGCCCAGCTGGAATAAAACTCCAGGTGATCAAGCTTCTGCCCAAGGGGACCGGCCAGCATCACCATGGAAACATCGTCCTCCAACAAAGGTGGCAGCTGTGCCAAGGAACCCCAACTGTGACCAGGCAAAGTTACCAACAGGTGACAGGGGCCCCAGGGTGTGAGGGCATGTAATTCACAGGCACTGTGGGAACTCCATCATCTAAAATTCTAATGTCTGGGCTTCACAGACGTTGGGTGCCAATTTTGACAACCCTCCCATCCCAGCAGGCCATCCTTGATTCTAAATTGTTTCCACCTTGGCTGCATTATGTTTCCTGATCAAAAAAGGATGGTTCAATTGCTCCTTTTCATCTTTCCCCTGTGCAAAGTATGGAGGGAAGCGCAAGGAAAGCTAAAACACTGGGACAAACAGTGACAATGCAGGAAATCCAGCAGTGCAGTGAGCCAGGGCTGGTGCTGTGGAAGTGCCGGGCAGGCCCCCGGGTCAGCTCCAACCACAGGATGGAAGGCGCCGGGCTGAGGCCCCAGCTCTGCCACTCCCCATCCCCCACAGCTGCTGGACCAGGGGCAGCTCCAACACCTGGGAGAGCCATCTGATGATGGCGTGCACACGTGCAAGAGTGAGAAAGTCTGCATGGTTTCAAAGGGCAAGGCAAATGGGGTGCCCACATTCGGGACCCAGAAGATGCTGGCTGATGTAACGTGAAGCATTTCTGTACATGAGGGGAAATTGTCCAAAGCTCCTGGAATGTAAGCTTGGCTTTGTAGACAGTCTGCTGTTAAACTGCAGGGTCACCCAACCAAGAAGCAGTCATGGACCAGGTAACAGGGAGGGAAAGGGGTGTTCACATCCCCCTATTACCTCCATCAATCCCCCCAAACCTGTCCACAAATAAACGGAGTAATATTATTCTTTGTTATAAGCAATTATTGCTCTCATATAGTTATCTAATGGATGAATGAAAGCATCTTTTTAAAAAAAAATTTACTTTTTTGATTGATCCCTAACATGCCAAGTCTTAACCAAGTAAGAGCAGCATGCTTGTTACGTGAATTCAGCTTCAAGAACACCTCCCCTGTCTCCTTCCCACCTGAGCAATGGTAGAGCCCATTCTGCCCCTGAAATTGCAGAATTTGTTGATTTGAGCCAAAGCCATTAATTACGAGGAAGACCTATGTGGACTGAAAGCCCCAGCACCTGGTGGGAAAAATGGACTCGTGAAAATAAAGGAGGCTCCCTGGCTTCAGAAAGCAGGTTAAGACATACCTCTTGACTGAGAAATGATTAATTCTACGTTGTCAGGGGAATTCTGAATCATTCTAACAGCCATGTCGAACGTGAAGCCCTCCAGACTGATGTGATTCAGGGCTAGTATCTGCCCTCCTGGAAAAATGAGACATCTCAATTATCCCATCAAGGAAATGAGAAAGAGCAGGTCCTTAAAGCAGCATCTCTGGCAGTTTAAAAAGACATACCCGGTTTGATCTTTTTAGCTTTTTCAGCTGGTCCCCCAGGTATAATAGAAGATATAAAGATGCCAGGAACAACTTTGCCTACATCTTCTCCCTCATGAATGACAAAACCTGTAATCCAATGATATTAAATAAGATGATACTTAATGCTTTTGCAGCTCAGAGAGGTTAGGTTATCGGCTTGAGATCACACAGCTACCAAGTAGCATGGCTGATATCTGCACCTAGTTCCTCTGATCCTCAAACAGCTCTTTCTACTCTGCCATGACACGTGGAGAAAAGTGGATTGTCCCCTGTCTGCAAGTACAGCTAAAGCAAGGAACACAGCCCATCAGTGTGCATGGACTTTGCTCCAATACATGATCAGAGAGAGGAAACAGATGATCCTTAATCAAGTAACTTCTCTCAGTGCCTTGTTTCTTATGTGGTTCTTAAGGGTCTTCAAATGTGGTAAATACTAAGACGTGCAGAAGACTCACTATTCTTCCCCGTCATTAATTATCTAAATATATGAGAGAAAGCTTATTACGTGGTATCGGGGGAAAAAAATCTTTTTCTATCTTGTACTTAGATTTTCCAGATCTGCACCCCAAAACCTCATCAGGCCTAAAAGGAAAACTTTGACCCCAAAGTCCCATTGCTTGTTAGGGATATTTAGAGAAAATAAAAAGACGTGATCACCAAAAAGGACAGGTAGGAAGGAGAGGAGAAAAGTCTAAAGGAAGATGGGACATATCACCCTTCCGCCCAGAGGGAGAAACTGGGTCCCCTCTGCCAGTCCCCTCTGGAGGCCCTCTTACCAAAACCATGGCGTGGATCCCGGTTCAATGTCACGTGCACAATTTCTCGGTCTGGTTCGGCTGTAAAGCTCCTCTTGTTATTTTGGGGCCCTAGAGGTGGAAACAAAGCCCCACATTGTGCTTTTCTCCAAAATTATCTGAGGCTTAATACAAAAGGTGTGAACGGTGTTTCATGCACACACACATAATACTGGGCAGGGATTGCTGAACACATACTTCAGATGCACCTCACTGGGTCAGTGTCAGCTCATCAGGAGCAGAGGCTAAGGTGGGGTGGGCCATGGCGCCTGCTCTGGACGACTTACTGTAGCTGTTTGTTTTCTGCACTGGCCTTGGGACAAGACAGAATTCGAACAGGGATGTCCTTGCTGGCAGTGAAAACTGAAAGTATAGTTGCAGCACAGAGAGGAGAGAGCAAAGTCTTGCCCTCTTGGACCTCTAACAATCAGTTCAGGAACCCGGTGGCTTCTCCCAGCCTGGGTCTTGGAAGGAACCCAACGCAGAGCCTTGATGGACACTCCAATGCTGACCACATAGCATGTGAAAAAAACTCCAAATGCTGACCCACCACCCAGCACTTTCCACATCTCTCCCTCCCCCAAGGGACCATGGTGGAACCTGGCACGCAGTTCATGGAAAGAGACCCCCAGTGGTATTCCAAATCCAATCCCCAGGCTCAACGCTCATCAAATACAAAGATCTTCTCTAGTTCAGGAATCGCTTTGTCTCTATTTCCCACTAGGGACCTGCCTGGAGGATGTACGACACAGGGGAATGCTGCCTGCCCTGTCTGTTTTCTGGTGGTTAGTGGGAGATGATATTCTGGGCCTGCGTGAAGAGTTGTAAAGAAAATGAATGATGTGTTTTTCCAACCACACTCCTCCATGGCAGGAATTCCTCGCGCTGGACCAGAGTGTGGGAATCCTCTTGCCAGCACCAACACGTTTCAGATCCAAGCCCAAGCCAAAGATGGGCAGCAAGGGCTCTTCCTGACCACAGTTTTGAGATTAATGTGAAAAGCAAAAAGACTGTGAACATTATTAGGGAAGCAAGATGAAGTGGTGCCACAAGATTTAAAGCAAGTATCACATGTAAGGTGTCCTTTACCCTGACCTGGCCTGTGGCCTGGTCCATACCTGTGCACATGCTCCGAACAGGCAGCCCAGAGAGAGGGTCACAAGTTGTTGGCTTCTGGATCAAACACATGTTCTCCAGCTGCTCACGGCCAGGGCAGGGGCTGTGGGGAAAGGTAACAAGATGAGATAAGATGCCCCAATGAGGCAACTTCCCAGCATTCTGAGTATGGGTGGTGGCCCCAGGCTCCATCGCCCAGCAGATCCATAGACATACCCCATCAGGGCCTGATCTGGTTATTAGAAGTGTGCTGGAAAACTGAAAATAGACTTACCCTATGATTCAGCAATCCCACTTCTGGGCATATATCCGGTGAAGGTTCTTATTTGAAAAGATACATGCACCCCAATGTTCATAGCAGCACTGTTTACAACAGCCAAGACATGGAACTGTGCACTGACAGATGATTGAATAAAGAAGTTGTGGTATATTTATACAATGGAATATTTCTCAGCCATAAAAAAGAATAAAACAATGCCATTTGCAGCAACATGAATGGACTTGGAGATCATCATACTAAGTGAAGTAAGCCAGAAAGAGAAAGAAAAATACCATGTGATATCACTTATTTGTGAAATCTAAAAAAAAAAAAAGATACAAATGAACTTAGTTACAAAACAGAGACAGACTCAAAGACATAGAAAAACTCATGGTTACCAGTGGGTAAAGAGAGTGGGCGGGATAAACTGGGAGTTCAGGATTTGCAGATATTAACTACTGTACACAAAATAGAAAAACAAGGTCCTACTGTAGCACACAGGGAACTATATTCAAAACCTTGTGATAGCCTATAATGGAAAAGAATATGAAAAGGAATATATATATATAAAAATAACTGAATCACTATGCTATACACCAGAAATTAACATAACATTGTAAACCGACTATACTTCAATTTTAAAAACTGAAGATAAAAATAAAAGAAGTGTACTGGGAAGAACGGCTTCAGGGGCTTTCTGTCTTAGAGGGGACCCTAGAGTCACCCAGGCCACTGTGAACTTCCCACCACCTTTCCTTTGGGTTGGCTATGCAGCCTTCAAACCTTCCATTT